GGCCAACGCTAGTGTCTTGTACTGTGTGTGTATGCTTTGTTCTCCCTTCTTCTTCAAGCTCTAACCATAGTGCATGGGGACGGACAACGCTTGTTCGTGGTCGGCACGGCTAGTGGGTGCTCGGCAACACTAGCGGGTACTCGGAAAGACTGGTGAGTGGTTCATTCACCTGAGCCGGTAATCCTGTGGGCCAATAAGTGGTATCAAAGCTCTCCACATGACGGGCTTCAAGGCACCATTCTCCGAGCTCGACGACGATGTTACCGATACGGTGAAGTTTGATGACAGCTCAAGAGCGGCTATCCAAGGACATGGCACCATCATCTTCAGGTGCCAGAATGGGGAGCACCGCGCGCTAACGGATGTATATTACATCCCGCAGCTGCGTTCCAGCATCATCAACATTGGTCAGCTGGATGAGCACGGTAGTGAGGTACTGATCAAGGACGGAATCCTTAGGATCAGGGACCGGGAGCAGCGACTTCTCGCCAAGGTGAAGAGGTCCCTGAACCGGTTGTACCTGCTCGACCTGAAGGTAGCACAGCCGGTGTGTCTGGCGGCAAGGCACACCGAGGAACCATGGATGTGGCATGCCCGGTTCGGACATCTTAGCTTCGACGCGCTTGGTCAGCTGGAGAAGATGGTCCGAGGGCTACCCCACATCAAGCACGGAGGGGAGCTGTGTGACAGCTGCCTGGCCGGGAAGCAGAGGAGGCTACCATTCCCAAAGGCGGCCAAGTATCGCGCGAAGGACGCTCTCGAGCTCGTCCACGGTGACCTCTACGGGCCGATCACGCCTGCTACAAACGGTGGTCGGCGATACTTCCTCCTGCTCGTGGATGATTGCAGTCGCTACATGTGGCTGCAACTCCTGACGAGCAAGGACGAAGCGGCGGCAGCGATCAAGAAGTTCAAGATACGCACGGAGGCCGAGAGCGGCAAGAAGCTCCGCGTGCTGAGAACTGATCGCGGTAGTGAATTCACTTCGGTGGAGTTCGCTGCGTACTGCGTGGATCAGGGTGTGGGGCAACACCACACCACACTGTACTCGCCACAACAGAATGACGTGGTGGAGAGGCGGAACCGGACGATGGTCGACATGGCTCGATCCATGATGAAGGCCAAAGGCATGCCGGCAAGGTTCTGGGGTGAGGCGGTGACCACAGCGGTGTTCATCCTCAACCGCGCTCTAACCAAGGCCCTAATGGGCAAGAAGCCGTTCGAAGCTTGGTATGGGCGCAAGCCGAGCGTATCCTTCCTCCGGACATTCGGTTGCATCGGCCACGTTAGGAAGACGAAGCCGAACCTCACCAAGCTGGAGGACCGGAGCACACCCAAGGTGTTCCTAGGCTACGCGGAGGGTACCAAGGCGTACCGGCTCTACGACCCACGCGGAGACAAGGTGCTTGTCTCGCGCAACGTCGTGTTCGACGAGAAGGCGGCTTGGGACTGGAGCAGTCCAAGCACAGGGGAAGCTGGCGGCTTCACCAGCACCTTCGTTGTCGAGCATTTGGTCATCCACGGTGGTGGAGACACTAGGGAACAGGTGCTGAGCACTTCGGGAGGGGTGCCGAGCACTCCAAGCGGTAGAGCCGAGCACTCCTGGGGTAGTGCTGAGCACTTCGGGAGGGATGTCGAGCATTCCAGGAGGAGTGCCGAGCACTCCTAGAGGGATGCCGAGCACGCCAGGAGTGGTGCCGGGAGGTTCTGCAGTGGTGGCGACCACTATAGGACAGGTGCCGAGCACTCCCGTGGTGGAGCCAATACGTCTTGCAATGGTGCCGACCACTCCAAGTCTGAGGCTGAGCACTCCTATAGTGTGGCCGAACACTGCAGAAGTAATGATGAGCTATCCAGAAGTAGTGCTGAGCACTGCAACCAGGGTGCCGAGCACTCAAGGTACTATGCCGAGCACTCCGGCGGAATAGGGAACTCCATCGTCGCCAATCGAGTTCGCCTCACCTCCAAGTGACATCACTGAGTCCGTGGATGCCTTCCACGAAGGTGAGGAGGTGCGGTTCCGTAGGCTGGACGACATCGTCGGCGGCACAGGGCCCTTAGGCCTGGCTGGTAGGCTGCTCAATGACGCAGAGCTGCTACTCGTTAGTGCTGAGGAACCACCCACGTTCGCGCTGGCCAAGCGCGATGGAAATTGGCGACGGGCGATGCTGGAGGAGATGAAGGCGATTGAGGAAAACGAGACATGGCAGCTCGTTGATCCACTTTCAGGATGTCGTCCGATCAGCATGAAGTGGGTATACAAGGTCAAGCAGGACGAGCTCGGCGCCATTGTCAAACACAAGGTGCGCCTTGTCGCCCGAGGCTTTGTTCAGCGCGAGGGCATAGACTTCGAGGAAGTCTTTGCGCTAGTAGCACGCATGGAGTTCGTTCGTTTTCTACTAGCCTTGGCAGCAACAAAGGATTGGCGCGTCCATCACTTGGACATTAAATCGGCCTTCCTCAACGGCGAACTGACGGAGACAGTCTTCGTTAGGCAACCTCTAGGTTTCGTCGTCAAGGGAGAGGAGCACAGGGTGCTTCGACTGTGCAAGGCGCTCTACGGGCTGAGGTAGGCCCCACGAGCATGGAACGCCAAGCTTGACGCCACGCTAGGCGAGCTTGGATTTCAGCAGTGCGCAACTGAGCACGCGCTCTACATGCGGCGACGGGGAAGGAGGAGCTCGTTGTCGGCGTGTATGTGGATGACTTAATCGTCACCAGCGTGCGCACGGAGGATATCAACAGCTTCAAGCGCGAGATGGCAGCTTGTTTTCGAATGAGCGATCTCGGCGCACTCTCCTACTACCTCGGCATCGAAGTGAGACAGGGGAAGGAGAAACTCACGCTCGGTCAGAGCACGTATGCCTCCAAGCTGTTGGAGCGGAGCGGCATGGCTGAGTGCAAGTCATGCGTGACTCCGATGGAGGAGCGGCTGAAGCTGATGAAGGCCAGCACTACGGCGAAGGTGGATGCAACACTCTACCGAAGCATCGTCGGCAGTCTGCGCTACCTAGTCCACACGAGGCCAGACATTGCGTTCACCGTGGGCTACGTCAGTCGCTTCATGGAGGATCCTAGAGAGGATCACTAGACTACGATGAAGCGGCTACTGCGCTACATCAAGAGGATGGTAGATCATGGGATCATCTTCCCAAAGACCGGTGGGAGTAGGCTACAGCTCACTGTGTTCAGTGATGCAGACATGGCGGGGGACATCGACAGTCGACGGAGCACCTCTGGCGTGCTCGTCTTCCTCGGGTCGGCTCCAATTTCATGGCTGTCGCTGAAACAGAAGGTGGTGACGCTATCTACGTGCGAGGCAGAGTATGTAGAGGCGGCCACGGCGGCGTGCCAAGTTGTGTGGCTGCGCCGGCTGCTAGGCAAGCTGACCGGCGTGGAAGCTCACCCACCAGCACTAATGGTGGACAACCAGCCCGCCATCGCCCTCGCGAAGAATCCAGTTCTGCACGACCGGAGCAAACACATCGACGTGAAGTTTCACTTCTTTAGGAACTATGCCGATGGATGGCAGATCGTCATCGAGTTCGTCGAAACTGGTCGGCAACTCGCGGACGTCCTCACCAAGCCGCTCGGACGTCTTCGACTCACGGAGCTGAAGGAGATGATCGGCTTGGAGGGGTACAAGGGTTAGCAGTAGAATTAGGGAAAGATTGTTAGATAATCTACTGCTATCTTGTGTGAACACAGCAAGGTAAGGCGGCACCGAAAGGCCCCTGCTGTGATACTGTATCCGCTGCAGGTGCAGGCGTCGCACGGCTCACCTACAGCACTGTAGCCATATGCAGATGCCAGCGTAGAGTCAGCCATGCATGTTATCTAGTCACTGTTGCAGCAGGACAGCTGTACTGGGACTAGATGAATAGAGTTGTATAAATAGACTACCACGGCAACTCAGTAAAGAGAGTTCAGATTTGCCATCTCCCAGATAGGGCTTCGGCCAACGCTGGTATCTTGTATTGTGTGTGTATGCTCTGTTCTCCCTTCTCCTTCAAGCTCTAGCCATAGTGCGTGGGGATGGACAACGCTTGTTCGTAGTCGGCACGGCTAGTGGGTGCTCGGCAACATTAGCAGGTGCTTAGCAAGACTGGTGAGTGGTTCACTCACCTGAGCCGGTGATCATGTGGGTCAACTGACAGTTTGCCCTATTGGATTTTGTTGCTGTCCACTTATTTGCATTTCCCTGCAAAACCAGGGTACCACAGCATGGGACAGAGATTACTGACGATGTTTTCCCCTGCTGTCCGGGAAAAAGTGTAGCAAAGGGGTTATAAATAGGCAAACTTTTATCGTTAACGGTACTATGTGATAGGTAACCATTTGGCATTCAGCTTGTTGGAGTGTAAGTGTATCCACATTTTCCATTTATCTTAAGCTTTGGAGTTGATATGGTGTGCGCATTCAACTCAATACAGCTTTCGGTGTTTAGATGCAACCAAGTGTAGCCAGTATTACTTTCAACGAGTATTTCCTGTCAGGTCAAAAGACTAGCGACCCATTCTGATCCTTCCGTCCAGCCACATCCAAGAGAAGGTCAACTTAGTTATTATTTTAAAGATTTTAATTGTTAGGTGCAATCACAGAAACGTACTCTTGTGGTTTCTTTATGCCATTCCTGCTGCCAACGATATAAGCCCCAACAAATGCAGTCTTCTCGTGGATGTTGCTAATGCAAAACTAGCTACAAGGGAGCGAGGATGCATGGGAGGTGATGGAACTGTAGCATACTCCAAATAATTCCATTGAGCCATCCAAGTAGAGTATCAACACCATCATCTTCTACCGTGAGGTATGTGCGTTACTCAACCATAAACTGTTTTTTGGACTACAAATCTTCTTTCAGTTGTGTATATTTCTCTGTCTTTAGAAAAATCTTTTAGAAACAAAAGACAGTTTTGAGACGAGCTCTTTGCTTTACATCTGCTGCTTTCTTCGTGTTTCAGTGTCCAAATTAAAGGGCTTGTTGTTGTTCACATCTACCAATGGCGTACAAGATGAAAGGCGTATTCAAGGGCCTCAAGGTCATCTCTCAGATCTTTGGTATGTAATCAACATCAGCATGTGTGGATTTTTTACATGGTTTCATACAGGACGATTCTGAGAAAAGCTTGAAAGCTCAAGTTCCTTTCTTGTGCACCAACTTATTATTCTTTGTTGCTCATGTATAACACTCTTGCAGTGGTAAAGGAGCATCAGATGGAGATCGGTTATCCGACTGATGTGAAGCATGTTGCGCACATCGGTTGGGATAGCCCAACAGGCAGTGCAGCTTCTCCTAGCTGGGTACATCCTACATTGCAAAATTCACAATTTGAAAAAATGCTGCAACTATTTTTTCCTCTTCCCACTGCCTGATTGCACCTTTGATCATGACTCGTTTGGAAGCTGATAAACTCCAAATTTCTTCGTAGATGAATGACATGAAGGGGTCACCAGACTTTTCATCGCTGAGCAATGCCGGACCATCTGCACGAACATCCTGGGCTTCTTCTCAAGGTGATTTTCAGATCTCTTGTTCATTAGTTATTGCATTAGTGGTTCACATGTTTGATCCAATTGTTTTCTGCTTTCTTTAGTGAAGAATATTCTTCCTTTAATTTATTTGAGCGGTGATGTGTGTACGGCGAAGGAAACTGTAGTTATTTATCCTAGGAATGCTCTCATGTTGCCATTTTTAGACAGCAATCTTATGTTGGTTCATAATTCATTGAATCATGATCTATCAGTTTTCAGACAGTCACCCATGATGCTATTAATAAAATTTCAGTGTCTTTCAACTGCCAACAGCATCTTCTGTTGTTGGTGGAGCTGGGATGCAACTTATGATGAATAAACGAAATAATAAGATCGGGTCCATTTGAATTGTGGACCACAATTATACCCTTGTGTAGTTTATGTTTTGTGTAGATATTCATCTCATAAATGACAGTTTATGTTTATAAAATTTCATAAATTAGATATTTAGAGTACATTCAAACATTTTTTTCTTCATAAAACATCATTCAGTAATTCATACCATAACTTGGATCATACTTCGTGGCTGATCAAAACATGCTTTAAAATGTAAACAAAAGCTTCTGGATTCCAGCCGGTCAAACACTTCATAACATGTCATCCACTAAGTCGTGTGCTGTCAGAAGCAAAACTATGAGATGCTAAATACTCAGATTATTCATCTCCTCCTCCCCCCCTCCCCACCCCCAAAAAATGCTATAATGACTCTGATTGTCACCTTTCAAAAATTAACTGGTTATCAAACCCACATATCTATCAAAGCAACAACATGGCTTATGGTTCTACTAAAACTCAATGACAAGGTGTAGAATGACATGTTTTGAATGGGCAAATGCACTTAAATATCCTCAATGAAATAAAAAATCTTCAAATATATAATTTGTATTCTACTGCTATTGTTGTCACTGATGTCCTATAATTCTCATTTACAGATTTTGACGAGCCTCGAGATATATCACCCTTTGGTATATTTCCCGAAAGTAGCGGTCAAGAAACAACCCAGTACCCAGACATACCAAAGCCACCCAGGAAGTCGAGAAGGAAGAAATCCAAGAATGACTCGCCAAGGGCATCCGCGAGATCCTCAAGGTCGTCAAGATCAAGGTCCAAAAGCTCATTTTCATCTACCGCTGACAGTATCAGTGTCAAGGATATGCAACCGTAAATCTAGATTGTATAGGCCATTCTTACTTACGTTGCCCCGTCGGTAGTTGGCATACACAAGGGTTCTGACGTCTGAGACAAAAAAAAAAAGAGGGTATCCTTTGATATTCAATTGAGTTGGGGCAAGACTTATTTCTTTTGATTCTTTATGTTAAAGTGGTTGATTAGCTGTTGGGATCCTTTTATCTTTCCAGTTCAGGGGAAATCAGTAGTAGAAATGTCTAATGCTTGATGAGCCAATATTATACTCTCCGACCTCCATGAAATGCCCAGCAAAGGACAATTTAGATGATATTGTGGGTTCACAAACAAAATTGTAGATTGTAGTGACATACTACACGACATATATATATCGATTTGATTCCTTCGAGACCAAGACATACATGATATGGTGCTCATACATATATGAATGTAAAATTCCAAAAAAGTAGTTAAACACAAATCATTGGGATGGCTATTCACCCGTACCGCTAGACTCAAAGCAGAACAAACAATGGTAGCCACGTGACGAACTACTGGAGCTAATTGACTGATTCCATGTAAACAATTGAACTAGTTGCGATTCAAGATGCAGTCAGGCACCTTCATGCATCCTCCTGTGTTTACATTTCGGCGTCTAATATTTGTCAAGCCTACTATGCTAAATAGTGCATGTTTACAGCTGTTAACCAAATAAAAAGTGCAGTAACTCCAGCAGTCGCAATATGATTTATAGAAAATAACACATAATTTTCCAAGCCATGAGATAGAAATCACGCTTTTATTACTACCATCTTAAGAAACAAATACATATCCATCAACTGTATAAATTTATGTTACATACACTATCACCACAGTTCAAATTTTTTTGATCACCTATCTAACCAACCCCCATGGTACTTGCTCCGAATAAATGAAAACCACAAATGAAAGAACAGCCGATGCCACCAATTGCTGATGGTCTGGCAACAAAGCTAGTATACAACAACATTTGCTCATTGGAGTCCTTAATAAGTCGACCTAGAAGTTGTAACAGGTCACTGGCTATGGTGACGTCATTCATGATACATGACAAGTCTTACTAACAACAGGAACAGGACTATAACAGTAAGGGGTTGTATTTATTATAAAGGCATTGCTTGGTGATTACTAACAAGAATAGGACCACAACAGTAAGGGGTTGTTTGGATGAAGGCATTGCTTAGTGATTTGTCAAGGATTTGGATCCACTATATTTCCCCTTTATATTCAAAATAAGGCCCTATGGGTTTAAGGGTTTAGTATCAGCCATGACCTGAGGACCTCTTGTTAGAACTTCTATCTACGGAGCCATAACGGTTTTGTGACTGGTGTGAGTTAGGTCTTGTGGGGGGTGTCCCACCTCCATAAGGTCGCTGCTGCCACTGTTGAGCTCCATATGGTGCAGGCTGGTATCCCCCAGAATAACCACCAGCATATGCTGGTGGGGGTTGCCCATACAGCCCAGGACCTGCTGATGGGGCAGCAGACTGTGAGTTGCCACGGTTTTGATGGTATCCAGGTGGTTGAACTCTTCCACTAGAATGATGGTGGTTCTCTCTTGCATATGGGTTATACTGTTGCCTTCCACGGTTATCTCGTTCATGCCGAGAAGGTCCCGACCTTTCAGGGTGATACTGACCATATGCTGCTTGACCATTGGCCATGTTATCACCAGGAGCATGCCAGCCAGGACGACCAGCAGGCTGTTCCATTCTCGGAGGCACTCCATGGTTACCCACGTGATGCATTCCATTTGGATAGTTCATACCACTCATTATTGTCTGATATGGCATAGATGGGGAATTATGTTGCCCACCACCCCGAACATTCAAGCTGTTTACAACAAGTCGATGGGCAGCTTCCCCGAGTTGGCGGCCAGATAGAGCCCCTGATGGGTTTTGCCTGAAACCAATTCATAATAGGTATAAATTTTCAATGCGGCTGCAAGACAAGGGAAAGAACTGGAATAGTACCTGTTGCTGTTATCATAAGGCCTCCGGTGATTGTTATCATGAGGCCTCCTACCACTGTCTTCATGCCACAGCACTGGTGGAGGTTTCAGATCACCGGCTTCTACACTCTGCAGATTTGATCAAACACAAAGCTTCAATTACTGGGATATCAAACATATTTTGGTCTATTAAGGGGCATCCCCTTTTATGTTGATATAACTAAGCCATTTGATTCTACAATGTTTACCTTCTTGGGTATGATAACACCAGCTGGTGGACGGGCGATGTGCTTGTGGGGATCCGGAAGCTTGTAGATTGAGCATCTGGTTAAGTGAAATGTAATGATCGTTAACTAGGTTGCCACTAAATCCAACCATACGGGCAAAAGAAATTGAGCTTACATCACTTGATTATCCATGATGTCCTCAAGCCCATCCACAGGAGATCTGAAGACAGGAGGGGATGGGTCCCCACTGCAGAGTGCAATGTAACCATTCATTCCTCCACTAAATAAAAAAACAAGAGCAGCAATGTTAGAGAAATCCAACCATAAACACCTCAGCAGGCTAATATATGTCAGATTTATTCCCCCACCCCACGCTAAAAGAAGCAGGCAGATTTGTTTCTGTGCTGTGTACTCATGGCCATTTGATCAAAAATCTTGAAAAGGTTATAGCTAACCTAGCTGAAGGATCAAGTTTTTCTTTGATCCCACCACGGTCTTTGTCTGGCAGATGCCCGAATTTACTGTTGAGAGAGTAGATATAAGGAGAAAGTGAATGGGAGCCATTCACAAAAAGCATATTGCACATAGTACTGTTTCTCCTTGCTTCTTCAGGCTACACAAAAGATAAGGAAAGAGAAGCAGATCTTAAGATTTTTTTTTCTATACCATATAGCTTACAAGCATATTTGCACAAGAAGCTGTCTTATTTCCATACCGTCAAAGTATGCTCAACATTTTTAATCTCAGCCAGCAACCGGTCTTCTTCTATAAAGGGCAGTTTTGCTATCCCCTGCGAAGTATGCACTGCTCTTAGTGATAGCCGGTATACAAATATACAATAAGCAAATATGTTCTCCTAGGACATTTAATTAGAAAGGGCCCATGTATGACATAATTATGCTCTGTTAAGTACCTGCCAAGAGAATCTTTTCCCATTCATATCTACATCAAAATCTGCACGGTAAATAGGAGAAGAGAGATTAGAAAATATCTTTAGCTCAAGAGAGAATCTGATAATACAGCTCATTTCTTATGTTCACAACATCAGCATACCAGTTGGATAAAAATCAATTATTGGTGAATTTGGATCAGTCATCAGTTGCCGATACTTTAGAGGAAGTGCATGAGCACTGAAAATAAGATGTAGCAACCACTAAGAAAAAAAACAAAGTGATCAATGAAGACAAAAGAGATGCAATCTTAGCATATTCACCTTGCAGCAGGGAAAACCCCCATTAGCTGATCAAATGGCTTGAATGGTGACCCAAGTTCAAAAGTTATATTGAGCTGACTCAAACTCCTTAAATCCGAAGCAAAAGGAGCATAATGATAAGGATAAAACCTACACGCAGTAAGACAAATTTAGAATGTCTTCGTAAAATCTACAACTGCATTACAGATAACCATTTCACTAGACATAACTGTATCCACTAGAGCAAGCAAATTACCATTGCCATGAGCAGACCCCTTCATAGTAGTAGTGCATCACCCAACACAATCCTTCAGTATACTTGAGAGCCTAAAGATGGAAGGAACACATCAAATATAAGATATGCAAAAATGGGAGAATTTACATATCCAATTACAATCAAATGAAATCTTCTATCCACATATGTGTATTGCTTCCCATAATATACTTACAACATCCCTACGTATTTCTTCCATCCGTTCAGATGTCCTTGCCCCAAACTTCTCTTCATAGTACCTATCCCTCCATCCTGGTTCTCCAAGCTTTACCTGAATATTTAATATATTATGTGTCATTATAAGCCTCTGAAATGCACGGATACAAGAGGCCAGACCACAACAAGCAGAAATTATGTTCTATGTTTAAAGACTTCAACCACACAGAAACTCAAGGTTAAACCACAGCAAGTATAGAAAGTAACCAAATATGTGTATCAGTTTTTCACCTATATGTTCCAAATATAGGAAAGCAAGTGTTATGGGCAGTGGCAGGGCTGACTGGGCCTATTGAGCTGGTTAGGCAGTATGGCAAGCCAGATCTCTCGGGGTTAAGAGTTAGTTATTAGAGATAAAATTAGAGGTCTCTTGCTTAGGAGTTAAGGAAGCCTCCCTATATAAAGAGGGGAGATGCATAACAAGGCAAGCAAGAATCAATCTATTATCTAGTCCCTTCTATTATCCTTGCCCTTGTGCCGCTGCCACCTATCAGCAGAGAGGTCATGCTGCTTCGGTTCAGGGCCATCCAGAACTATAGGTTCATAACATAAAGACTCAAATGTTAATAAATTATAAGTTACAGCAATATTTCGCAAACTGACATACTAACAAATATGAAAGGGGCAGTTTCAGTAATAAACAATATAAAATGTAATGAGATATGTTTGGTGCATACATACCTTGTCCTCCTCTGGATTTTCAGAATTGAAGACATCTGATTTCCCACGAAGAGCATCCTTAAGCATAGACTTCAATTCTTCTTTGTTTTCAAGCTCCTAAGTTACCACAGGAAAATCAGATAAAATAAAAGAAAAAAAAATGAAAAGGCTTCTTCCAAAACAAAGCCAAATGAAATGAACTACCTGTGCTTCAAGATCTTTTTCAGCCTCAACAATGGCAGTGGCAATGCTGGAACCTGATGACGATAATCTTGGAGCTTTCCGAGCTTGGCTGTTCCTTTCTGTATGAGATCCATTCTGTTCATATGGTGAAGGTACTGCCCCAGATGCAAGGCGAGACCCTCGGAAATTTGCAACAGGTACAATAAGATCATCTCTGACATGGGGATCCAGATCATCCCCACGCTTTGCTTGGGCCTTTTCCCGTTTTATTCTTTCTGATTGACGCTGTGAACAACATAAAGTAACTTTTTAACAATTGACCTGTTCAACAACAAAGCCTGTGC